GTGCTTGTTGGATAATTTGGATCCCCGTGGTCGCTGGACAGTATAATGCAAACTTAAAGGTTTTTTACAGGGCTTAAGCGGTAGAAGGTCAGGAACTACCTTTGACGTCTGGAATACAAATAATTTAACGTTTGCACAGAAAGACAAGTTGTTGAAGACGTCCACACAGTGTAAAAAGCCCTGTCGGCGGGGTGGAAAAGTTTGCCAATTAGTTATCTCCTAGGTATAACAGCGGCTGGAAATCGTTTTGAGAATTTTTATTTTATTGGAGCAAGACAGGCAGATTTACTAATCAAAGATGCCTCTATCAACGAGAAAACCCGAAGTCGACATGAGTGTGTGTAATTTTACCTCGAATCAAAACGAGACGATTAATTCTTTACTTAAGTGTCAATATGGAGCGAGAACACGAGCAACAATTTCTAAAATGAATGAACAGAGATGTCACCCCAATGCACGGCTGCAGCTTTCACATACCAGAGTCATGGCGTGGCGAAGTAGGAACCTGCTAACATTTCCAGAATCTTCGATCCAGTCAAGTACAAACTTGTCTGACTGATCTAAGTTTCCGCACGGGCAAGGCAAACGAATGTAGGTACGGGTTCTGAATGCCCGAGTAAAGTGTCTTCGAGAAGATCGCACACTAAAGCGTAGATCTGGCCAGTCACAACACCCTTTTTATTACGATCCTCGGCTACTGATCAGCAGGAGCAACTGCATGAACGATAAGCAGATCCATTACACCGCCAGTCCGTGTCTTTATTCTCACATGGAATGGTCCTCCATCTACAGGAATCATCGGGAAAGTAGTATGTGCGGTACTTTCTTGGCGGCTAACCATCTAGATGAAGGCAAACTACCATTAAGATAAGGCACTCTGGAAAAAGATTGAGCCGTTCAAACTAGCCAACTTCATTGTAGACATCGTCAAGTGCATTGCTCAATTCAAGCCCGGCTTTCGGCATTCAAAACAGAGTAGCCGATTGTCTGCGTCAAGCAAGTAACGGCAATTTACGCAATCACCCTACATTTTCACGCCAGACTCACGCTGTGAGCGTCGATTGTTAA